ATGAAATTTTATAACTTACAGCCTGTTTTCACTTGTTCAATTAGACAAGCTCCCATCTCAGAAACCACTGGTCCTTTAATGAACGAGAAGTGTTTATTCTTCTTCTTGTACACTCTATATTCATTGTGTAGTAAAATAAAGTGTTCGATCTTCTTCCCTATTTACAGAGAAACGGAAAACAAATTTAGCCCTTCAATATCTCCTGTGGCAGCTGTTCACTGACCGTGCCCACACAAAGATTATATAAAAAATTCGCTTGTTATTTAAATAAATCTTGCCCTTTTAAAGCATTTATTACTCTTTGTTATATATGTCTTTGGTTTAAATTAAGTAATTTATATGATGTGGCTCCATAACGTTTATCATGTTCTATATTACCGCAAACCGTATTTGTGGATAATTTTCGTTTGCTATCACTCATAAACTTAAAGTTGTGAAACAGTGGTATAGTTTTGCAGTTTAAAATGAACAAGACAGGCTATCATTTGTAGTTTAAAAATTAGAAACGTAGTTTATCATATGAAGACTTATACGAGAACAAATCTTCTTTTTTCATTTTTGTAATAAATTCATTAATACTAAGTTTGTTTAGTTGAATAGCAGATGGTAACATCGAGTTTCCAGCCTGATTGGGCAAGACATATTATCGTAATAAAACTCGAAAGATGCTTCTTCTCTATTTTGGAAAAATAGGCACCTTCTCACAGCAGGTAAGGTCATTTTACGCAGTTTCTGACGCTCTTAGAAGAAGTCTCCTTATACGTCATTGGTTTTACTTTTGTGTTGATGTGTTGCGAGGAAAAATGTGAAAATCTGATCTACGTGGACAAGATACTCCCTGCCCATTTGAGTCATTAAACATGTCAATGGACTGACTTAACTCATTTTTCTTGCAGATTGTTTGAACAGTCAAACAGCGAAAGCGATTACCATATTTTATCATCAACGTAAGATTAGCTTACATTTCGCTCTATAAACAGGTTAGAGTAATCTTATTCGATACAATCGTTTGTTGGAAAACTCTTATGGATCGCAAATGCTAAGCTAATGATATTCAAATGTGTCATTGTGCATCAGAAGTTTTTTTGTTTATTTTAGCAACGTTGTCCAAATGGTAAAATGAATAAAAAAGATATGCTTCGATGTTATAAAGAATTGTCAACATGTGATATTGATAAAATAGAACATGTTGTTAATGCTATTCATCAATGTTTCGATGTAGATAATGATGGAAAAGTTGGTAAGATATCAATTATTTTGTTGATGTAAATGGAATTAGATCCTATTTTTTCATATTTGCAGATTTTAAAGAATTTGTTATCGGATTTTTACTCACAACCAAAGGAACAATGGAAGAAAAGCTCGATTATACATTTCAATTATACGGTATTAAAAATATTGTATTTATGTAACAGTTGATTATTGATTATATACAACAGTTGTAGTTCATTTGTAGATCTTGACAAAGATGGGTTCATCGATCAAGGAGAAATCGACACCATGGCAAAAGTAGGTAGACGTAAAAGGAAAGGATTATTATACGAGTAAATAAGCTAATGTTTTGCTCCTATTGCGTTCAACGTGATACTAGCACAATATTAATGCCTCAAATGAGCTCGACGTTTCAAAATACGGTTTCATCACTATCTCATAAGTGTACAAAACAGAATAGAGAAAACCGTTTCATCTGACCAAAGATTCTACTCATAAGAAGAATTTTTTTCGATTTTATACATTGTCAGTATGGAGAATGACTCATACTATGTATAGTTTGAAATTTTGTTCTAATCTGAGTGATTTTGATAAAGATATAAAATTTTTAACGTTCAGTGAAATGAGCTTTAAACTGGATATTTTCGAAAAAATAGATGTACAGTAGGTTTTTTAATCATTTGTGACAAACAAACATTGCCACACGAGTCAGCGTGCTCGATCACCTATGCTCCAGCTATTTTTGAAATCTTCGGAAGTCAGAAAATGAAACAAATTCAACTTTCAAGAACCTAGTATCGTAAAGAATGAAGATCTCGCTTTATTCGAAGAAGATATTTTGGGATATCTACGCACGCAAAAATCTCAATATTTTGACAGAAGTTCCTAGCTTCGACATACGATACTATAGTATTGACTACGAAAATTTATTCTTTTGATTCCTTTGAAAAGTAAAATCATACAAAAATTCTTAGAGAAAAAGATTACTAATTCTGAAAGACATTCTCTGAATTTTAAAGATTAATTTTAGCGTTGTTTTTCAGTATGTTTTACGAATGCTGGGTGGTGATGGTAATGAACATCAATCGATTGAACTTTTAAAACATTTTATAAGTTCTTGTCATTGTAATGATCGTGGACTGATAACAAAAGATAATTTTATTCGTGCATTATCATCGAATGAATTATTATCACAATTATTATCACCTTTTACGTAGAGTATGCTATTTTTTATATTTTTACTATTTTTTTTTTTTCTTCTGCTGGTTCAATTATTCTAATATGTCTGTATTATCTGTACTTCCCGTTGATCTCTTTCTTTTTCATTTCGTGTTCGGGCGTGTTTATTATTTTCTACATCTCAGTGTATTTGTTTTTTGTACCAGTGAATGAAATGAAATGACGTCCAATTCATACAATAACTGCTCTATAGTTTGAAGTATTGTTAATAGACTTAAAATACTTTAAGTTAAAATTTTATTGCTTAAGACGATATTTCCAAATCAGTGAAAACTAATGATAATTCGCTTTCAGTGAAGCCATTTGAAAACGGCTTGTAACAAATACCGAAAAGATAATTACCATAAAGATATTTACGTCTTTTAAATTAACTACCCCAATAGATTTTTTGCTCAGGCATACTGACCAGAGACTCCAGGTCAGAAAAATTCTGATTTTTGGAATTTTTTCTGCCTCGTTTTTGTTCTTTTTTCTTTTGAGGTATTTTAGTTTTCTGATTATGTCGACAGACATTATGTATTTTTGCTGGGAAATTGGTTTTTGTTTCCTTCTTCCTTTCTTTCTTTTGTTCCCTTTTTAAAAGAATTGTTCACCTTGTAATCTAGAGAACTATGAAAGCTAGAAAAGTCCTGGAAAAGGTAGAATATTCTCCCGACATTGAAGATTGATCAATGCACATTTTTCTCGCAAACAAACGTCCATATTCGATGGCAAAAGTGAAAGAAGAATGTTTTTTGGATATTGAATTTTCGTATATACAATTGTCCGACGCCATTTGTTCCTTACAGGAAAAATAATTCTCTCTCTCTTCTTCAAATTTCGTTTTCATTTCATTTTCCTTAAATCTATCTTTTAAAGCAACTAAAATCACAACGAATGTGATGTGGTGAACTTCTTATTGACTGCGGACAGCTTCTGACTCAATAGTTATACATACACGGTGTTGATTTATTAATGATTTCTTAGTTCAGCTCTAAAAAAATTTTATCGTCAAAAATCCGTCATGTTACGAGTTAAAAGACTGAAATTTTTCAGTAGCCGAAAAGCAAAACAAAACATTTCGGACAAAGGAAAGGAATTGTTTTAACCTCTCCAAGCTGACGATGGCAATGACAGCATTTTTAAAAAACTTAACGTGATCAATAAATATTAATTCTTTTGCCAAAAGTGCATTAGTCAAAGATGTATACAACCGTGTATAGCTTTTTATGACGATCGTATACGATAACGTATTACACCAAAAGAAAAGCATCTTCGGTTCCGAACGAGACGCATAAATGTGACAGAGCCAAAGAAAAAAGTCGCATTTATGCGTCTCTTTGCGAACTCAAGATGCTTTCTGTTTAGAGTGTATGTCTGCATGGTCTTCGTTTACGATCGTATGAAATCGAACTGGGGACGTGGACAAATAAAACCTTTCAATGTACATCATCATTTCTAAATTATTTGATCGTGTTCGATGATACTAATCTGTCCGATCTGCCTTATTAAGAATTTACTTTTCTATTGTATAAGAACGGTAAGGATATGTCGTGCAATAAATCTTCTGACATTTATTGAGAATATTTCTCTAAGATTCGCAAAAACTCGAAGATTTGAAAATTCTCGAGATGGGAAGTATGCTTCCCACTGGGTCTCAAAGGGGTAAGCTATGATGTAAGATTGCAGAGATAAGGACTTTTCGTGGAGTTTTTCGTATGATCGTGTATGAAAGTTTAGATTCTTTTGGTAAGATCTTATTGGAACAGGCAAGAAGCGTTGACAGATGGTATTATCTGATTTTTTTATGAGAGCTTTTTATTGATTGGTTAAAGAACGAGTCACACAAATTGATTAAAAATGAATTGCAGATTCGTGCAAACTATTGCTTATCGTGTGTGAAGAAATTTTTAATTTTTTTTTATCAAACGAAGACTTGTGGAAACGTATTCACTCGAACCACCTTACTGTCTTTATGAAATTCCTTGAATTTCTAGAACTTATTGAATTCCTTGAATTGCTAGATTTTCTTGAATTCCTTGAATTTCATCATAGTTAAAACCTATAGCTAACCATCTTATGTGTCTTTATTAAATTCCTTGAGTTTCTAAAATTTCCTCAAGTCTTGAATGGCTTGATTTTCTTGAATTCCTTGATTTTCTTGAATTCCTTGATCTTCTTGAATTCCTTGATTTTCTTGAATTCCTTGAATTCCATGATAGTTCAGTTCACACTTATAGCTTACTATCGTATGTGTCTTTATGAAATTCCTTGAGTTTCTAGAACTTATTGAATTCCTTGAATTCCATCATAGTTGAAACCTATAGCTAACCATCGTATGTGTCTTTGTTAAATTCCTTGAATTTCTTGAATTGCGAATTTGTGGATCGTGGTTATATCTCTTAGCGCTAGGCAGCGACAAAATTGAGCGCCACAATCACATTTGAAAATTCAGTAAAAAAGAAACTTGAATAAGTATACCCATACTTTGTAAAAATAGGGGAAAATCTATGATTACAAAGAAGCGGTTACTGTTGTAAAAATGATAGGGTCAGTAACTGCGGCAACTGAGAAGAAAACAGGTTTTCATGGTATCTAGGATTGTGAATCTATGTTTACTGCTAAGAGCGCTTTTGTTTTATTAGGTTACACTACACTATCCCGAAATGCTACGGGAACAGAAATGCTACAGGAAGATGTAACAGTGTCACACTTGTAGTATGACATTGTTACACGTTTACCGTAATATTTCTGAACAGTGTATAGGCATGAGTTTATTACTTCTAACTTTTCTTTAATTTCTATTAGCGTATTATTTGTTCTAAGTCCTTAATTGATAAACGAGTGAAAAAAGGTCTAACAATAATTTGAGCGTTTTATCCAAGTACGACGACCCTGTATACCTACTGGACTCTCTTCTGAGATGCAAATGCCCTCTTACTCAACTACATTGTGTTCCCATTATAATACACAACTGGCGCAAAAGTCTGTTTTTTATAAGATGTATTGCACGACATATCCCTACCGTTCTTACACAATGGAAAAGTAAATTCTTAATAAGGCAGATTGGACAGATTAGCTTCGTCGAACCCCAGGCCACAGATTCACAACAGTATACTATAGTATTTCGTCGTATTTTGACGTAAACCCGACCAACGTATTACGTTCATCGTAAACGACCGTATAGGACGGTCGTAATCATGGGCCTGGGACACGATCAAATAATTTAGAAATGATGATGTATGTTGAAAGGTTTTATTTGTCCACATCCCCAGTTCGATTTCATACGACTGTAAACACAGGCCATGCAGACATACGCTCTAAACAGAAAGCATCTTCAGTTTCGAAAACTCAACACTGGTTTTGGATAGAAAATATTTTAGTTGTTACCTAGTGACTTAAACTGTAATGGCTTTTAAGCTCTCTAAGTGCACTTATTTATTTGCTCATAACCAGCGATTAGAAAATGTGCTGATTCAAACAAGCCGAAGTTTTTCTTAGAATGTAAGAATACAATAAATAAGAAATTCTCAAATTGTAAGCATTCAAACCAATGCAACAAATTCCAACTTTCTATCTAAAGTGTTCAGCCGATCGCTTGAAGCTTCAGAAACTCATTGAAAAACATCTTATTTTTAAACTTACTCACGCAGGCTGGTATATGAATTTGTTGTTCTAGATGGATTCACAGATTCGTCGTTTAGTGCTAGCGAGCGCTGAGACAAATGGTAAGGATGTTTCTTTTTTCATACATATCGTAGCTCCTATAATCCACATTTTAGACTCACAAATCTTACGTGAAGCATTTAATTTAATTCAACAGAATTTCAAAGTGAATGTTGTTCAAAGTAAAGATACAATCGGGCAAGACTTATACGTTTTAATTACCGAAACAGCGCTTGATGTGAGTTTCAATAGATATTCTAGTATTGAAAAATACTTTTATTCACTGCGTCAGTCTAGACTTTTGACTAGAATTGCAGTTGATGATTAGTAATGATATTTCTGACCATGTCAGTATATTGTCAACTTTGTGGAAAGTATCATGATACTCAAACGAGAAAGATAGTCGCGAGGCAGGATCTGCCTATAAAGTAGTAGCAATTGTGAGCACTCCTAACACGATCGTGTTTCTTTCTTTCTAGTTAAATCAAAAGGAAATAGCTGGCGAATGTTTACAAATGTTTTTTACGTCGAGTCCTGTGAAAAGTCAGTTTGTTGGACGTGCTTATTTAAGTCAATTTCGAATGTACATGCCATACAATGCCAGAGACTATGTATAAATGTTTATAGATGTCCTTAACATTAGTCTATTTATTATAATATTTTTCTAGGCTAGTTTACGTAATGCAAT